CGGGCCGGAACTACTTTGCGTTTGCATCCGATTGAGTGGTTCCTTGGTTCGTTAAGAGGTTCAGGGCGCGTCAGCTGCTGAGATCGTTAATCCCGCAAGTGTGGAGCATGTTTTACCGCGGGAGGCGGCGCGACAGGCAACTGCCAAGGTCATTTGAAGTGCCATAAGTGAAGTGCGTGTTTTTCCTGGTGATCTTCCCTTCGGTAGATGGCGAGACCTACATGACGGCTAGCGAGATTTTCCCCAACCAGGTATCTTCCATCGGCGCGATCTTTCAAAAAAGTTACATTTGTGTAGTTTTTGAAGAAACAAAAGAATATACTGAAATGAACTTTTCGTCATATTAAAGAGTGCAATTAACACTATCCGTTCGAAATGTTTGAAGGAAAAATTTGGAGCCGTTTGTGAGAAATGGGATTTTGAGCGTTTCTGAAAATACGGAATATAATGCCAGTTTTCACAGAAAATTGTTGAGTTTATGTATTGTAATGTGAATAAATTGCTGGCAATATAAATATTAACGACGTGAGAAAAAAGTCAAAAAAATATTTTTTTGTAATTTTTGAAGGAAAAAAATAATAGAGCATAATGCCGTTTATGTCATCTTATAGAGTATATTTCGTATTATCCCTACCTAAACTTTAAAGAACAAAATTCGAATTTTTGTTTGCATCGTCATTGCCGTCATCGCCACATTGTATTTTTATTAGCATCGTCAATGGTATTACAATCTTTGTATCATCAATAACGTAATGGTCTGAATACGGATCTTAAAGTATTTACTCTGTATTCGTGGTTCGTAAGCAGATCGGAACAACTCTACCAAAGAAAAAATTGTGTATAATAATAGTGTAACTATAATAATGTGAACAAATTGAAGAACATCACTTTGGTTGCTTGGAGAGGAATAAAAATGACAGAAGATGTCAATCTTGACGTTGACATGTGGAGTGTTTAAAGAAACTTGAGAACTGGTGACATAACGACCATTGCTTGGTACTTGTTTCTTGGAATATGGTTTGCAACTTGATGGTGAATGGGCAACGTTAACTTTCCCTTTTACCTATATAACTAGTGGTGATAAAAGATTGACACAGACTTTCTCGTACATATTAGTTTCTTAATCTCTTTAGATGATTGATTGGATTGAAACGATTAGTGATCCCGGGCCCTTCAACTGCCAAGGTCATAAGTCCCGTAAGTGAAGTACATGTTTGTCCTGGTGATGTGGCGGCGATTCTCTCGCTGTATGGCAAGATCAGGCGCCGAATTACCGTGGGCTAGCTGGGTTTTCCCACAACTAGGTATCTCCCACCAGCGAGGCACCGCCGCGCGGTCCGCTTGTTAGGTTATGCTGCGGCATTCGCCTGGTGTTGATCGGAGAAACCACGGGAAACCTATCAGGCAGCCGGCCGTTAGAATTCCCCTCCAGACAGCGACTCAATTCGACCTAGCTGACAAGCTAGTGCATTGAAACTTGTATTACATCGCGAGGAAACTTTCAGGAAAATATTTGAGGAAAAAACTAATGGCAATAATTACTGGCAGCCCAACAACAACGTAAATATATTCTTTCCATTCTCCTCCTCGGTTTGAGTACCGGTTTCCCAATTTACTTTAGACTTTCTTTCCCTGTAATCATAATGATCGATTAAGGAATTTCGGAGATGAAAGAGCGCACTTAATGGTTTACGGTCAGGAGGTACCAGCTTGCCTACATCAGTGAAGGATGCATACGAGTAGATGAATTCTGTGAGATCAGTAAAGATGAACTAAGCTCGATCCTGAATGTACTTCCTCTGCATGGTGGTAGCTCTAGTAAGAACACTGTAAGATGATTACGAAGGAAAGTGGTCTACTTTCAGGGAAATTCTTATACCTGACGTAACTTGATCCCGACGTAACGTAACATCATCGCCTGACGTAACAGATAATCTTTCCCCCCTCTACGTCACATACATTTTTTACTGATTTTTTTTGCTGAATAAATCTAAACCTAAATCTAACTCCTTTAAAAGATTAATCTTGTACAAACTGGTATTCGAATATTTGCAGACCCACATATATGTTATGTGTCATTCTCACACGAAACTAATTTAAGTACTTTACTTTCAAATTACTTCGGCTCAGACACGTTTCTTGGAAAAACAAAAGTTTTTTATGGGCCTCAATTATATTCTTAGAACCGAACCATGATCTTCTTGGAGCTGGGAACCCGAAACGTAAGAAGTATAAGTGACGTCCATGACATGTATAACCCCGCTTGAACGATCGCCCATGAGGTCAAATCGAGATAGCGTATCAGCAACAGCATTCGGAGCGTCCGAGAGGAAGTATGAGATCTCCGGTGCACTTGCTTTCTTCGATGCTTGCAAACCTTCACAACACTCTGGCCGGCCGGCCGGCCGGCCTAGAAACAAAATTACCTCTCTCTTAAGTTGGCACTAGTACAATCGGCTACCACACAAAACCAAATATGCCGCCATTTGGAACTTTCACTAATTAATTACGAAAAAAATTATATATTTTCTTGCTCTTCAAATGTTTGCGTAATTAATGGGTGAGCTGGCTTACGATTAAGCTGGCACTACAACAATGGATTACCACAAAACCAAATATGCCATCTTGTAGAGCGATTTAATTGCTAATTAATTACGCAAAAAAGATATTAATTGTTCTTCAGTTGCACTTGAGATTTAACGAGGCCCTACCACAATGGGCTACCACAAAACAAAATTGTCATTTTGTAGAGTGATTTAATTTCCAAATAATTACGCAAAAATAGGTATTTATATAATTTGGTAAATGCTTTATTTTATCATCGTTCGTTGGCCATCTGAGGTTTCGAGGTACAAGTTTATTTTGTTGAATTTGTGTTGTTTTAATTGTTTATCGCGAAACATTGCCAATGTGCCATTAACTCCTTACAGGAAGTATGCGTTAACGTGACTAAGTGTTTATTTACGGAGGCGAAATTATTTGTAACTAAAGATTTGGTTTTGGTCATTCTTCCTAGTTTCTGCTAGTTTTAAATCGTAATTCGATTGATGACTTAGTGTTGCATGGCCTCAGCTGTGTTCTCAGTAGTGATGCACTAAGTATGAGAATTATGTTGTGAACCCAGTATGAAAAAATGTGTGTATGCTAAACGTGGGTTTGTGTGAACGGTTGCAGGTAAATAGTGTTAAAGATCAAATCAAGGGACATACATTTTTTATCTCTAAGCGACGTGAGAAACGAGAAAAAAAACGACCATCGAGATGAAAGCAACTGATCAAACCCCACTACTCTAACGGGGCTGATATCCTTAGTAGTTGATGTGGCTTTAAACATCGATATGTCTTTTTTCTTTTCTATCGTCGCCTTTTTCTTTCTCCCTTATATTTTTCTTTCTTTCCTCTGTTCTTGTATCTGTGTGTGGTGAACGTGGGCGGTTGCAGGTAATTAGTGTTTAAGACCAAAACAAGTGATATACACAACTTTTTTACTCCAAGGACTGTGAGAAACGAGAGAAAAAAAGCGACGATCGAAATGAAGGTAAAGGTCAGGACTAACGTTGGCGTGCCCAGAAACATCAACCCATTTTTTCCCTGTCTCTTTTATGTTTTGTCCTGCTTACTGCGCTTGTATGTAAGCGTGTGGGGTTGCGTGGGCGGTTGCAGGTGCAAGTGCCGCCGTTGTTCGGCGAGGAGGAGCGGGCGGCCACGGTGCAGGCGAACCGCGACGGCACCGTCGAGTGCCACGCCGACGCGCGCCCGCCGCCCACCTACACCTGGATCTACCAGCGCACGGGCCAAGACCTGGCCAAGCAAGGCGGCCGCTTCAACGTGAGTGCACTTCAATTCAATTCTATTCCATTCGATTCCCTTCGATTCCATTCGATTCCATTCGATTCCCTTCGATTCCCTTCGATTCCATTCGATTCCACTCGATTCCATTCGATTCCATCCGATTCCATTCGTTTCCATCCGATTCCATTCCATTCAATTCCATTCAATTCACTCCACTCCACTTCTCTCCACTCCACTCCACTCCACTTCACTCCACTCCACTCCACTCCACTTCACTCCACTTCACTCCACTTCACTCCACTTCACTCTACTTCACTCTACTTCACTCTACTTCACTCTACTTCACTCTACTTCACTCTACTTCACCCTCCTTCACTCTCCTTCACCCTCCTTCACCCTCCTTCACTCCACTTCACATCAATTCAATTGCGCCTTATTATTCCGCGGCGGGGCTCAGGCTACCAGGCCTGCTCTTCCGCCTGTCAACGCAAATTCCGCTACGCTCGTTCGACCGACTGGCAGGAAAAGGGGGTGTCACTCTGTAAAAGAAACGGGCGACCTTTAATTTAGCTCAAGAGGCTTCTTCTAGGCTTGAGGATCTTGAACATGCAGTAAATCTACAACATAGGGCAGCCGGGTTTACTTCCACTTTGAAGGATATTTTTTTCGCCTTTAAAAATCCACGGTTTCGGTCGGGTTTGAATCCGCGAACTTAAAAGATGAAAAAGGTAAATTTATTCACACTGCAATTGGGAAAAATCTAGTGGCAGCTAATTACGTAAGGTAATATATATATATATATATATATATATATATATATATATATATAACATGCAAATACAACATGCTGTCACGGAAAGAAACGTCGAAACTTGGAAAATAAGCTCTTAAGGCAATTGTAAGCCTATTTTGTGTAGTAAAATTCTTGAATATTCCTAATGACTGAGCCGCATTCAGCACTCACAAGTCGGTTTGAAAACATACTTTCTATGCAATAATTTGCATTCCAGAATCATAAAACATTCCAGAAACATGTAAATTGTTTATTATTTACAAAATAAATATATGTTCAGAAATAAAAATTAACACAAATAAAAAACAGTGTAATTGTGTAAATCGAATCTGTAAATAATATAAAAATGGTTTTCAGATGTTGAGAACTCATTTACACTATAACTTAATTTATTATTTTTGTAAAAATGTATTTTTTGAATTTGACCTAATAATTTCCTAATAGTTGTCAAATCAAAAAGTGTAGATTTTTCCTCAAACAAAGCAACAATTTTTTTTAGCGAGTCCATCAATAAAGAAAATAGTTCAAAATAACGTTCCTCTCTTCACCACTGTTTCACTTCTCATGCTGGGCTTGGTATCAGATCTTCCCATAAAGTTTCACTATTTGTTTTCGTTGTCTTGAGCTCAGTGGGGTTCAAATAATGCTTCTCCGCGTAGTCGAAGTCAGGGGCGGGTTCAGCCGATTAGAGATCAGGGGGCATCATAGATTTGTGTTAATAAACAAAAAATTGTGTATTTTTGTATTTACATATAATACTATACAATATTATTTTTAAATAATTATGGAACTAATATAAATAAATATTTAAATACATTTTGGGAAATAAAAATGTTACAATCGATTTTTTCTAGACAATTGATTTTTTTTTTTGTAAAATCCGCCAGTGGTTGAGGCGCTAAGACGTCCTTCGCGTAGAGCTGTATAATGGATGAAAGAGTCCGTAGCTTAATTTGCCATTACAGAGGGTTTCCATTACACAGCATAGTTTATTTCTCAAATCTTGCCCAAAACGACCGTTGCTACCTGTATTCATAATACAACTTTACTACTAAAATGTAGCATCCCCGACGCGGTATATCTTTTTAAAAGTAGTTTCATGTGTGGAAAATTTCTTTCATACCCAGCTTTGTTCAAATATATTCTTTCAGTATCGGGCATTGGACTTGCCAATGAATCGTAGTAGCTGATAATGTTATAGTTCCGTTCGAAAGTTCCCAACACCCAATGTCATTATGTATTACCTCCATACGGGATATGAACTGATCTTATTGCAATTTCAAAATTATAATCGCCGTAAAAAACACTTGCAGGTTGTGATGCTAATAGTTGAATTTTGGTACAGCTACATTTTGACACTTTTTTGGTAATATGTACATAAATGCACCTAGCACATTTGCATTAGCACAAATGCAGATAATTCCCAATTAGTGTCGAAAATTCTATCGCCACATTTTTTACAACTACATTTGATTCTTCCCCAGATTTCCTCAACACTTCCATATTTTTCTCCCCTAATTTTTGAAGAGATTGAAACCTTACAAACTTTTTTGCGTTCGCTTCTACTTTTGCAATTGCTCTATTAATTGTTTTGTATGCGAATCTAGCGTTGCATGTAAATAGAACATTAAAAGGCGACTGTTTGGTATATGTATGTGAATAAGGTGCTTGTTAAGTTTAATAAACATAAGTTGTGGGTCACTTTCATTGGAAAATCGGTATTTGGACACTTACGTAAGAACGTAAAAGTGAGAAGTTGAACATATAGTTCATACATTACATAATCTCCGTGTTCACTTGAATTTCTTCAAGTTCAATAAGATCCGAAGCCACACTGTTCGTATGTTTTCGCAAATTTATTTTTAAAATACATTAATCCGCAAAATAAGCATACAAATAAATTAGTAAACAAATACGAAAATAAGTGAATTAGACGTGAAATGAATCGGTCGACAATCGAATAAGTCGTTATTAGAATAAGTCATTATTCGAAAACGTCGATACGCGAAAACGTCGATACGCGAAAACGTCGATACGCGAAAACGTCGATACGCGAAAACGTCGATACGCGAAAACGTCGATACGCGAAAACGTCGATACGCGAAAACGTCGATACGCGAAAACGTCGATACGCGAAAACGTCGACTGTCGACAAAGTCGACTGTCGACAAAGTCGACTGTCGACAAAGTGTACTAATAAATGAATTCCGCGTTGTCGTCTCAGGTGGACGGCATCACGGGCGCGCTGCACGTGTCGCCGGTGCAGGCGGACGACGAGGGTCTGTACTGGTGCGTGGCGAGCAACCCGAGCGGCGAGACGCGCCAGCAGGTGCGGCTGGCGGTGCAGGTGCCGCCGCGCGCCAAGGTGGTGCGCAACGACACGCAGAGGACAGAGAACGCGAGTAGAGAAGAGAAAGGAGAAAGGAGAGAAGAGAGGGAGAAAGAGAGAATGAAAGGAGAAGAAAGAGAGGGGAGAAAGAGAGAGAGAGAGTGGAGAAAGAGAAGAGAGAGAGGCGAGAAGAAGAGAGAGCAGAGAGAGAAGAGAAGAGAGGGAGAAAGAGACAGAGAGAGAAGAGAAGAGAGGAGAAGAGGAGGGAAAATGAGAGGAGAAAGGACAGAGAGGAGAGAGAGGAGGAGAAGAGACAGAGAGGGAGAGAGAACGGAGGGAAAAGAGAAGAGAGGGAGAAGAGACGAGAGGGAGAAAGAGAAAGGAGAAGAGAACGAGGGGAGAAAGAGCGAGAGGGAGAAAGAGGAGAGGGAGAAGAGAGAGAGGAGAAAGACAGGAGGAGGAAGAGAGAGAGGGAGAAGAGAGAAGAGGGAGAAGAGAAGAGAGGGAGAAAGGAAAGAGAGGGAGAAAGAGAGCAGCAGAAGGAGAAAGAGGACAGAGAGGGAGAAAGAGACAGAGAGGGAGAAAAGAGACAGAGAGGAGAAAGAGAGAGAGAGGGAGAAGAGAGAGAGAGGGAGAAAGAGAAGAGAGAGAGAGAAAGAAGGAGAGAGAGGAGAGAAAGAGAGCAGAGAGGGGAAGAGAGAGAGAGCAGAAGGGTGAGAAAGAGAGAGAGAGACAGAGAGAGAGAGGGAGACGAGAGAAAGAGAAGAGATGAGAGAGGGAGAAAGAAGAGGAGGAGAGAGACAGAGAGAAAAGAGACGAGAAAGAGGGATGAAAGAGACAGGAAAGAGGGAGAAAGAGACAGTAGAAAGAGGGATGAAAGAGAACAGAGAAAAGAGGGAAAGAGACAGGAGAGAAAGAGACGAGAGAAAGAGACGAGAGAAAGAGAGCAGAGAAAGAAGGAAGAAAAGAGACGAGAAAGAGGGAGGAAAGAAAAAGACATGGAAGAGGAGCGGAGAAAGTAAAGAGAGAAGAAAGAAAGAGAGCAGAAAGAAAGAGGGAGAGAAAGAGACAGAAAAGAGTACCGAGAGAGAAGAATGAGAGAGCGACAATGAGAAGAGAGAAAGAGCAGGAGGAGAGCAAAGAGAGAGCAGAGCGGAGAAGAGACAGGGCAGAAAGAGAGGAGAGCGGAAAGAGGAGAGAGAGGAGAAAAGAGGGAGAGCAAAGAGAGAGCGAGAAAGAGAGGGAGAGTGAAAAAAGAGAGAGAGACGAAAGAGCGGAGAGCAGAAAAGGACAGAGAAAAGGGACGAGAAAGGGAGAGAGCGAAAGAAGGAGAGCGGAAAAAGGTGAGAGCGATAAGAGGGAGAGGAAAGGGAGAAGAGATAAGAGAGAAGGGAGAGAGAAGGAGAGAGAAAGACAGCGAGAGAGAAAGACCGGAGAAGAAGAAAGAGAGACGAGAAAGAGAGAGAAGACAGATGAGAGAGAAAGAGAGGAAAAGACAAGAGAGGAGCGA